AGATGGTCAAAGTTATCTGGAGCAATCGTTTGGCCTGTCCCACAAACGCGGCATTCTCCCACACAATGAGTAATGCAGACTGCTGATTAAAAAAAAGGCTGAAATGCAGAGCACAGCGGAAGGTAAATAGATGCTTATGGAGGCACAGAGAGAGAGAGAGAGAAGAGAGGAGAGAAAAAGAGAGACAGACGGAGAGAGACTAAGGAGGGTAGACAAGTGGAATGACTTATTCAAGAGGGAAGTGGGCAGGAAGAAACATGAAATTAGCACAAATAGATTATCTGTCGACTACAGGCAGGCCTAAGAGCAAGCCAAGCACTGTGGAGGGAGAGCAAGAGAAAAAAAAAAAGCTGATTGACTTCTTGTTTGTTCCTCCCTTAGGAGAGATCCGATAGAGCCATCACTCACCAAATTGCTGATCTGTAGTTGAAACAGCTGTATCCAAAGCACACATGCACTCAACAACACAGCAATTAGAATGTACCATTAGTTTGACCCATGCACTGTGTGGGAGTAAACTGTCTAATCTTTATATTTTTTTGTATGCCTCAGATAAAAGCTTTGCTTTAGCGTACTATATAAAAATGATCATATACGTACTATGATAAAACAGTAGTAGTAGTACTAGTAGCAGTAGTACTTGTAGCAGTAGTAGTAGTAGGAATCCTTACGGTAATAGTTTGACATTTTGGGAAANNNNTGAGAGGATTGATACCACTTTCATGTCTGCATACTAAAATATAGAAAGCGTAAAAACCAAAGCGTAAAAACATGTTGCACGGTGATCTCAGCCAAGAAATAGTCCATAACCCCCCTGCTAAGATAAGTTAACTGGCTGCTGCATGAGAGTGGTATCAATCTTCTCAGCTCAGCAAGTAAGTGAATTAAGCGTATTTCTCAAAATCTCAAGCTATTCTTTTACGTAATGATAATCCATTCCCAATGATAACATAATTTGGTGTATTCTACTTATCGCAGAGGTGCAGGGCTCTTATTGCACAAAATGCAATTAAACAAAATGTATTGTGCCAAAAAGCTAAAATCCTTTGAGTGGGAATGATGACTCAAGCGTGAAGGCATGGTGACATATATTACATTCTGTGGGCGGTGGCAATGGGCATAGCAACATGATTGCTACAGATAGATTTTAATACATATATCAATTTTCAAATATGATTCAATACATTTTGAGAATTTATCTCTTTTACAAATCAGATTGATTTCACATTTGGCAAGCACACGCAAATGTTAAATATAGATGCAGAAATTTCTGCATTTTTTGCTGATAAAAAGTTAAAAGAGCATTGGACCCTTGTAACACTGTCAGACTCACAATGGACAGTTTAAATTGATGCAGCAGAACAAATTGATATTTTTATTTCATGGATTCTTCTTTGCAAAGCATAAGAGTTTGGTTGCAGTTTTGTGTGTGTAATGCTAGTGGCTAATGAAGCCTCGGGCCACTAGCCTCAAGCAGAGATGAGGAGCTGGCTACAGAGGTCTTCTTACTAACTCCATACACCTAGGATTTTCTATTATTTAGTCTTCTAATAAAAAAAAAAATGTAAGAAAAAAGTTTGTTAGTGTTTCGCTGTGAAGACATAGGACTTTTTCTCTGGGTTGGTCGCACCCTAAAGGATTTCAAGAGACATAATACAGTAGTTGAGCCCACTCCTCACTTTGTTTAACACCCAAATTATCTTTCCAAAAGTTTTGAATTGCCAAAGTTGTACTTCATGTGAGTTCAACCCTAGCAGACCGGGAGTTGTCGACGGCAATATCCTGAGATTTTGTGGTTCTTCATCAGTGTGGGGATTCACAGTCACTGAACAAGACTCTCTTTCCATGAGTATGATGGGGAATCTAGACCAGAAAAAGGTTGGTGCATCTAATATCCAATTCGACCCTTCAAGTGAATTACCTGTCTACCCTGCAGTCAAAGTGACTGTGAACCCTTGAGGTTGTTTCTGACCTTCCCTGATAATGTCTTGCAGCATATATATGCTTTGGAAATTGAATCACAACTCCCACAGGTTCAAGGCTAAATTGAGAAAACAAACTTTCCTTTTCCTATCTTCTGTCTTGCTGTATGCAAACAGGTTAGAAACAAGCTGAAAATTTAGTTCATGGTATGGGGCTTACATCATCTTTTATACACCGAGAGCTGGAAACAGGTTTGGAACTAATAGCACAAGTCTGTTGCCAGATTAGGAGGTTATTTAAACCTTTGGCCTATAAAAAGGATTGTCATTGTAGATTTTGGCAATTAAAAACCATGACGGTAGCGTGACTTAAAAGTAGTGCCAAAAATCCTTCAGTTTCTGATATTAGGTGTATTCTTTGGTTTGTGGTGGGTAGTGTTTTTCATGGGTATGTAGTTAGAGTTTATCCCTTGAGTGGTGGTACAGAAATGAAGTGGGGCTGAGTCTTCCTATACAATTCAAGGCAGGGACCCAGAGCCCCTTCACAGACAAGACTACTCTGCACAGGAGAAATAGAGCGAGAGAGAGAGAGAGAGCGGGGGACAGAGCCCGAAAGAGAGAAAACGAGAGCCAGAAAGAGATCCTTTAGTAGCCTGAATCTTCTCCAGCTTTAATTACACTGTATTGATCACAGACAGGAGGGAAGAGGAGAGGGAGACTGAGCGAAGAGGAAGAGACGGTTGGCCAAATTGTAGGCTGTAGTTACTGTAAAGTATGTAAAAAAAGAGAGGCAGAGCAATTATACCAAAGTCATACAGTAGATAATTAAAAAATCCGCCCAACTCTCTACACTTTCTCCTTCCACATACCCATTTAGCACTGCTGATACAATAAAGCAGTCAGGGTGTCAAATTCATTTAAGTCACCGGGCAGCATGCATTGTTCTCATCCATCTCACAGCTCCATGCTCGGTTTGATTTGAAATTCTTAACATTGATTTTTTTCTCCCCAGTGCCTTTGGTTCGGTCCTTCCTTGTAATCAACCATAATAGAATGGTCATGCATGACACTTCTGCTTTCCCTGTAACAACTTTAGCTACATGTTACAGATGCAAAGAGATCTACTTTGGCAAAGTTGTGCTTCTTTCCTTCCTTTTCTATCTTTTCTAGGTTGACCTACTTTGGCAAAGAGCTTAGGTTCCTTTCTTTGTTTCTCACACTGTTGTGGCAAGGGCAGAAAATCTGCAAGCTCTCCTACTGTATTTCCATCCACACCCTCTCTCCTCAGTCCTGATCCAAGCATATGGCAACTGGGTCCAGCACAGTGAAATATGCCAGACTCAACCTCACTGCCCCTGCAAAATCGCTCCCGCCGAGTCTCACAGAACTGTATTCTGGGGGTTAAGGAGCTTATGTCTCGTATACGACGCATGGAGAAAGGGGCTGAGCAGTGATTCACCATGGGAGGGGGAGAAGGAGAGTGAAGCCTCTCGGTGTTGAGTGTATCTCATTATGGCTGAACTGTGTGTTACCTTTGGTAAACAGTGGGGAACATTTCTCAGGCGAGCGTCACTCTAAAAGCAGCAGGCTGGTAAACGACGGCGGCCCGATGGTGGCGCACAGCCATTGCTCATATCTACAGCCCCACAGGGATGTATGAGTTCGGTCATGATTAGTCAGATAGAATAAATAATCTGCACTTATGACAGCCCCCTTCATTTCAGTGGGTGTTGAATGGATGCCCCGTCTAACTCTTTTGTGTTAGTAAATTCCCTCCAGTTATTTTTGCTGAATGACCTTCTCAATCATGAGAAAAGTCAAAAATTCAATTTCTGAAAGAGGCATTCATTATCATAGCCCCTTGTGCTCAAGGGTACCTGCCCATTTACAGTAAGAACGATGTGTAGTATGGCTGTACTCCATTTTAATGGTATACTAAAGAAATCATATTAGAGATTCATTAAGTAGCTTGAAGGTTAGTTGAAAAAACGTTTGACAATATTTAGTGTAGCGTGAGAATGACAATAACAGAGGTCTTTTTGAAATGTATTATTATTACCTGATGTGAATCCTCACATTGAGATTTATTTTTTCACACAACCACATTGGTCAGAGAAACTGATGTTTGTTGCAACTGTGCAGGACACTACTGATGTTTCTATTTGTAGTCTAGTCTAGTCTATCTTCAGGCCAAGGCATGCTGTGCCACAACCACTGAGCCAGTCTTGCAGCCTGACTGTACTCTTGTACCCATATCTTTGGATTGTTGTGACGTTCCGCCACTCTGCACAAGCCTGTCATGTGTGGAAAGCAAAACAAGAGCAATTAAATCTTCATTCCTTCACCCCTACAACCATATTCACATCTGTTAAATTGAAAAACCACACTGTGTAAAACAGCTCCACTTAAGTCTATGCCCCAGTGACTCTTGTAGTAGCGTCAAGAAGCAGAGGGAAGCTTTTGTCTGCCTTTCCGTAACAGTATTATGCCGTCTTGTTTTCGTGTTATATGACCCTCTGTGGATTCTGTAAATCAAACACTAATTACAACGCGCAGTGACCTGACGGCTGAAATGCTACCTCTAATGTCTTCCACGGGCTAATAGACAGCTGAGTGAATTTGGCCTCCAAAATAGAGTGCTTCAGCAAGCCGTAAGCAGCTTGGTTAATTAAGACATGCTGACAACCAGCGAACTCTGAACATCATTATGGATCCGCTGCCTAATTGGAAAGAAAGGTAAAAACGGTAAACGCATTTTTCTTCACTATTGGGTAGTTGCACTGTTTTTGCAATACAACCAGAGAAAAACCACTGAGGTATGAGCCTATAAAATCATCATTACATTATCAGTCCACCCATAACTGGATTAACCTGATAGGGCACTCCAGGGCAAACATTTCTTTTTGGACCCCCACCTTTAGTTTATTGGTGCAAATTCCCTTACAAATTTGGAATTGATTGAATTACCAAAACAAACTGACATGCACACTTCTGGGGTCCCTAGAGGTTTTGGGGCCTTGGGGTAATCCAGTTTCGAGTCCACCACATGGCATGTGTACAGAAGAATTCAGGTCTTACCTGCCCTGGACTTTGATGTCAGAGATGGCATAGAAGTATCTGGACAGGTTGTTCTCGTCCACTGTCGTAGCTCCAGTAGCAGGCCGGAGCAGGCGGATTCTCAGGTCTGTGATGGTAAAGAAGTCCCGCAGGTTCTTGGTAGTGTCCAGTTGGCCATATAGCGAGGCCATGTTGTGGAGTCGGGGCCCAGCAAACAGCGCAAACCGGTCCTTGATCTCAAAGCGCACTGTTTTATCATACTTCCACACATAACCTCGTGAGTAGTCCTCAGTGCAAATGATGTCCAGCAGGGTGTCCTGACTGAGATCCTGCACCGTCTTGGGCTCCATGGTAAAGGCGTCTAGGCAGTCAGTGGCATAGAACTGGTAGGGCTGCCAGCTTCGTCCATAATCCAGAGACTTTTCTAGGACCATCTGTTCAGGCCGGCCTGACTCAAAGGTGAGGATGATGTCGTCAGTCAGCTCAATGGTCTTGTTCCAAGATAGCGTGATGTTGACCAGGAGGGCCTTTGGGTACTTCTTCCAAGACGTGGACTGCCAGAAAGTTGTGGGGTTACGGCCCTCGATGTCGAACATAAGCTCCGGAGGATGGGCAAGTTCCTCTGTGGTGGCATCACATTCATTATTACACATGTAGGGGTTCTCCTACATAGAGAGAGAGCAGAGAAAACCAAACAGAGAAGGATAAAAATTAGTTAGTCTTAGTGCTGTATCTCTCATATACCACCATGTCATTAGCAGAGCAATTTAGAGAATTGTGAAGCCTTAAGCCTCACATGAAACTAAAGCTGAATCACAGTGTGTGTCATGTGCACACGCATGCTCTGCTAGGTGTAGTATGCAGTCATCATGAATATTTGAAGGTACATAGCTTTATGTTGCACATTTATCTTTCACGAGTCTGCCAACACCTCTGCTGATTGTTTAATCGCAATAATGTGCATCATGTGTGAAAAAAACATTCATTGGTCAACAGATTAGAAAAAAAAGAAGATTTATATTTTGGTTGAGCTCTCAGGTATCTTGGGTTGCTCTTGCACCTCTTCCTTTTTTTTCCCACCTTGATTCATTAACACATTCACTCATCAGAACACCTGACTTCACCTAAATGTGTTGAACCATTTAATAATTTCCATCAGAACTTCATTAATAAAGGGCTAATAAGTGTCTATTTTTTATCTCTCGTCTAAATTTTACTTTTGGTTTCAGAGTTTCTTTGCAAGCTTTAAATTCATCACACACCTTGCTTGAAAGAGGTCTTTCCAAAAACATTTGTCCGATTTACCACAAATCATTACCAGGCGATGTTCTCTCCTTGCTCCCTGGGGGCTCCATCTAGCTGTCTGGGGGAGGAGGCACTCCTCCAAGAGGACCTTTCAAGTGCTACAAGCTCCAATTTATCAGGACAAGATAATCCACTACTTGATTAGGTGGGAGATGTCACCCTGTGCATGTGCCTGTGTGTGTGTGCAGAAGTGAGTGTGGCAATGTGGTGAGGAAACAGGGAGAGGAGCAGGCTTCTGATGTAAGACAGTCTAATGAAGCGGTGAGGCAGAGATCGAGTAAGTTAGAGGGAGAAACAGCTCTATTCGGCTAATAAGCTTTGCAAGTTTTTCCCTGTCCTCCAAGGCAAGGTGACAATGAAACAGGGCTCTGTCAGGCCTTCTGACTGTTGGACGGCCCCATTAATATCCTGTCTGGACCATCCCCTACAGGCTTCTCCCAGCACTGGACAGTGGTGGCTGGGAGGAGACGTAGGAGAAAGAAGGCAGACTGGCAGTGGAAAATTCCACTTGGGTTTTAGTGTACCGTTTCATGGTGGGAGGTTAGGTGTGCCATTAACTGCAGCATCTGGTGCACCGTGTATCCACAGACAGATGTATAATAACTCATATGCGACAGTTATGCCTGCTTAGGGTGTGGACATTCTGTAAAAAACACACTTGGCATGCAGGATGGCTGACTGTGTTGCTGTGGCTTGTTGGAAATGTGCATTCATCGAGGGAGACCTAAAACTGTTATTCAGTGACAGTCGAGTGCTCTGCTTGAAGCACAGGTGTAGATTTTGGAGCAGAGAGAAGAACATGCTTTCTTGATCCTGTTAATTAATTAATTAATTATACTTTATGTCTACTGTGTTGTTCAATCTACAGTAACTGAACAACACAAAAATTCTCAAATGTACTTTTGCGATTAGATGGTGCCCTTTTATGCCAGTCCTTTTAAATGTTGTAAGGAACTTTTAGATTAATTAAATCTCTGCACTGAAATCAAGTTTTCAGTTAGACAATATTCTATTTTTACTTTAGGAACAATTATCTCTTCACCCTCCACCCAAGAATGGTGGTACCCAAATCGTTTACTTAAGTTACTCTGTACATTTTTCTTTTAATTACTACTTATATTTAACAGCTCCTGGAAATCTTTGTTGACGTTAAGTGGCTGAACTTCTCACCTCGCTACAGTGATGCACAGGAGGACTCTTTGTCATTACTGTTCAGTGTGGTTAAGGGTTCAGTAGACCACAACCATCAGCAATACTAAGTGTGGTCAGAAGTGAAACAGAGTAGAGGGGGTAGAAAAACACAGTTTTTTCAGCCTGGTAGAAAGTCATTCTTTAAGTGTAAGTACAGATGTATTAGCAGCAAGTAAAAGTATTCACGTGTATATTACACTGTCAGTGTTATACTATTGTAAAACATATTATTGGTTTATTATTATTATATTATATTATGGATTAAATTATATTACTGATGCATACATTTGTGAAGAGCATTTTAAAGCACAAAGTTATGATAGAGCTAATTTAAATCACTTTTTACACTTAATACATAATCTTAATAAATTGATTGACATATTTAATACTGTTCACAGTTTTATATGATTTTATAAATGTAATGGAATTGAAGTATATAGTAGCAGAACAAGTAAAGGACCACAAAATTGCACGTATAAGCACAGTTCTTAAGTAAATGTGCTTAGTTCTTAATATAGCCTCTACCTTTGGCTCGAAGAGTAAGAGTAAGCAAACACTACTTAGGGTGTCTTTATGTGAGCGATTGTGTCATGTCTGAGGTTAAGCTTTTTGTTCCTTTACGTCTAAATCAGTCAGATCCAGTGATCAGCTATTGCTGCAACACCCACACACACACACTCACACAAACTGCCATCCTCACCAGCACATCTCTGTAATCAGACAAAGATGTATCCCTATCGATCCCTGTGGCCGAGCAGCTGAAAATGTGCTGCGTGTAGCACCTGGCAACCTTGGCCAGTCGTCCAGCGCTCCCCCGAACACACAGGTTAAAAACCTTTCATTACTGTCTCCTCCGCTTCTCGCCCAACGACAAAATACTGCCTTTATGAAGATCAATAACCTCACCGGTCATCCCAGAGAAGAGAAAGGAGATAAAATGCTGAGTATATGGCCTCATGAAAATCAATGGCAGCTTTCTGTGTTTTACTGTAGGGCACCATTGAGGGCTCTGTTAGCCGATTAATGGTTTGGCACGCATTAAAATAATTGACAGCGCCCAGCACTGCAGCATTTCTGTAATTACAAAAGATGTTTCTATTAATCCCAGTGTGATGATAAGTGGCCAGGATGGGGGGGGGGCAGCCATCACAGATTACAAAGCCAGCGCAGAGGTTGCTGAGGCGGATAAGTCACGCTAAATTGGCGCTAATAGAGATGCCGTTGACCCACCCAAAACACAGCGGCTTAATCCGATTATTAGCGTTGTGATGCAGTGAGATAGTGTGAGAGAGCAAGTGCGTGTGAGTGCAGGTGGGTGTTCATGTGCAGCAACATGTACGTGGTTGTGGGTGGATTTCACAAATCATCAAGAAGCTACTCTAAATTCATTTGGCATTGTCCCCATTATTGTCAAACTGTTCAGGCTAATTTTACCAGCCGACTAGAGGAATAAAAATCAACAAAGCAGCAACGTAGAGGATAATGAATTAGACTAATTCCATTCAGCTGCACTCCACAGACCAGCGTTATTTGTAGTGTTTAGATCGCAGGGAAGTGTTTTCCCTTGCTTTGAAATTGAACTTATACATTTATCAATCATGGGATTATTTTTGTCCTCCATTTTTCAGTTTTTAGATGTTTCATTGTGCCTCTGCAATTGCTACAGTGTAATGAACAATGATCAATCATCTTAACAATTATCACCTGAACTTTAACCACTAAGAAATTCTTCTTACTTTTATGCAAATTCTCACATTTTTATGATTTATTACTTGACTTGAATATGTGAATAACTACTGTACATTCCTGGTAACACTCTCCACCCCCCCACCCCTGCTCCCTGCTCCATTCATATGCGTTTTCTCATTGTGGCTCTACATAGATGACAAGAAGTGTTTTATGTTTCAACCTTTACCCTAACAAAAAAACACTAAGAACAAATCTTTAAGTAAAGTCTTTCTGACAAAGGGAATATTTGAATATTTGTGTACGTTTTTTAATAATATTTGCGCCAAAAATCTGAGACAGACGTCAAGGTTGGTATGCATAAGAAGTAGATATCATTATCACACACAGAAAAAGAGTGTAGAACAGATTGGTTATAGAGGTTTTGATTGTGTCTAGTTTTAAAATAAGATATGACCGTGGTGGTTGACAGCCTTGGCCCAGCCACAGCGTAACCGCTGATGAAGGATGGGACTTGGGGGAATATAAATTTACAAACTGCCGACAAGCCATCTAGATAGATGGGCTCCCACCAATCAAACAAATCCGTTTGTGTGACAGATGTCTTGCACTTGTAACCCAGATAGCAAATTGATTCCGTCCTCCATGTTTTCCCTCTTTCAACCTCTTCTTCTTCTTAAGCTAATACATTTTATTTCAAAAGAGATCAGTGTGCAACCTTGAGAGAAATAAATCAAGTGGTCTTGTATTTGACTTGAAAACCTTTTTAGTAAAAGGAAATAATTCTTAAATTATTGACATGCAAAGTGCAGGCAATGCTTTTAAATTATGTTTAAATGAACAACTTTAGTTATGTTTTAGCTCCTGTATGTATCAGCTGTTAACCTCCTAACCTTGCAGAAAATATTGGAGCAGGACTTAAAGTGCATTTTAGATAAAAGTGCAATGACATCAAGATTCAGACTAACAAAATCACTACAATCAGTACTGGCCTACTTTACAGTTTGGCCACTTTCTACTTTTTTTAATGGCAAGAGGCAAACAAAGTAAAAAAAAATGAATGAAACCTTTAAACTATGAGCTTATAAATGAGCGTCATTATTAATAATCCAACACAACCGTCTGCATACTCTCCATCAAAGGTAATTCTCATAATGCAAAATCAAATGTTAGGACAACACTAACATGCTAAAAATCCCTCTGGTCTTGATGAATATTACCAGACTGGACTCAACAACAAGATTTCTGTGGCTCTCTTACAATATAGATATTTTAAACAAGACATGCTGTTCCCTACCTTGTAGATGCAACCCCAACCCCATATTCTACTTTATGATACTGACATTGATATTGTCATTTACAATATAAAGTCAGTTATCAGTTTAGCTTCAAGCACTGGCTTTTGGTAGACGTGCATGATGAAAACATCGTCATAACAAATTCTCCAATATGACCTTAGTCTTATGTCCAAAGCCAAACTCTG